TGTAGATAATCTGTTATTTTCCCACCTTCTGTAACAGGGTGACAACCCTGATCATTCTGCAGGAACATTACACAGCAGCGTTGTCACCTGTACAGGGAAGTCTTAGATAGATTATAAGTAAGACACACAACAAGTAAAGCCCAACTTCAGCTAAGCTTCTAACAGCAGTTACAGCAACAGGTTCTCTATAAGGTCAACCCCCCATATGAATGAACAACTGACAGTTGTGAGCACACCCCCAGCAGTGTTTAGGATTTGCCCCAACCCCGCCCTTCCAACTGCCATTTTCCCAAAAGACTTGGCCTTCTACAGGAAGTAGACAAAAAAAATATCTACTGGGAGGGACAACAAAACATAAAAATAATATGGAGACTCGGAAAAACACAAACCAGCTCTGCTAATGACAGATTTCATTATTAATGTCATTATTGATTTTGCCATAGTTACACTTTTGGTGCCCTGCCAAAACGTTGTAATATTTCCAGGGAGAAGAAGTTTTCTTCAAACTTTACACCAAAAAGAGATGTTGTGCACTCAGAGTGTGATTATTGTGAACCCCAATCAGAGGAATGTCAGTCCCCCGGAAGAAGTTGTGGTAGAATATGACCGCACACTCAGCACTTTGTAAGTTCCAGATCTCTGGCAGTTGTATTGTGTGATTAGTCTATGGAGAGGAGTAATAGCTGGAAAGAGAAAACATGGAACAAGGATTTCTGATCTTCACCTGATGGAATCCCATTTGGCAGAACCACAAGGAACACAAGTGGCCAGCTGGGCTTACGTTTTTACTGCTGAATACATCCCCTAAATCAGCAGTAACTCAGTATTGGAAGGCCTGCATCAGCTTGGGATGTTGTTTTCTCACTGAACAGAGACTTCTTTCTAGCTGGTGTCACAGACACAGACCTGCCTGAAAGGTTGTCATCCATGAGAGGATATCCTACAACCTCACAAACACCCCCTTTCCTCTCTGATCACAATCTCATCACCTTCACAGTCTCCTCATCTTCAAACACTTATCCCTCCAATCAGCAATCACCTGCAGAAACCTTCACAACTTGAACCCTTCTCCCTTCCACTCTGCAACTGACCACCAACTCTATGACAGAATCTCTCCCCTGTCCTGCCCTGACACCTGGCCACTGCTGTATACAACAGTTCACTTTCATCCACATTAGACTCACTTGCTCCTCTAACCACACGAAGCATCAGGCCCCCGCCCATACAACCTTGGCAGACTGACAACACCAGAGATCTTATAGACATAGTCGTGTGCTGGAGCGAATGTGGCGTAAAACCAAATCTCACCAAGCATTCACCCGATATAAATCTGCTTTCTTCACATACAATTCCTCCCTCCATGCTGCCAGACAAGCCTACTTTGTCACTCTCATCAATACCTTGTCATCCAGTCCTCGCCGTCTCTTCTCTACTTCTAACTCTCAACTTTCTCCACCTCCACCCAGTACCTCACTCACTGCTCACGAGATTGCAAATCATTTCAAAAAATAAGATTGACACAATTCATAGGAGAATCTCCCACTGCACAGACATCCATCCCACTTAGCATACCTTATACTAAACCTCCCTCAACACTTTCCTCTTCTGACCTTCCTACTACCGAAGAGGTCACTAAGGTATCTCTCAGAAGCCCCCTCTCACTACCTGCCCCCTGGATCCTGTACCCTCACAACTACTACGGTCAGCCTCTTCTTCCACCTATGCTCCCTCACTCACAATCTTCAATTCTCTCCCTCTCTACTGGTGCCTTCCCCTCCCCTCTAAAGCATGCGCACATCACTCCCATACTTAACAAGCCCTCCCTGGACCCCACCAACCTGAACAACTTAAGACCCATCTCCCTGCTGCCATTTACCTCTAAACTATTACAACGCTTAGTCTACAATCGCCTGAGCTCCTCCTCACCGACAACAACCTTCTTGACCCTTTACAGTCTGGCTTTCGCTCACTACACTCCACTGACACTGCCCTACTAAAAACTCACTAATGATCTACTAACTGCTAAAACCAATGGCCACTACTGCGTACTCATCCCAACCAATGGTCACTACTCCGTACTCATCCCAACCAATGGCCACTACTCCGTACTCATCCCAACCAATGGCCACTACTCCGTACTCATCCCAACCAATGGCCACTACTCTGTACTCCTCCCAACCAATGGCCACTACTCTGTACTCCTCCCAACCAATGGCCACTACTCCGTACTCCTCCCAACCAATGGCCACTACTCCGTACTCCTCCCAACCAATGGCCACTACTCCGTACTCCTCCCAACCAATGGCCACTACTCCGTACTCCTCCCAACCAACGGCCCTACTTCTACTCCCAACCAACGGCCACTACTCGTACTCATTACAACCAACGGCCACTACTCCGTACTCATCCCAACCAACGGCCACTACTCGTACTCATCCCAACCAACGGCCACTACTCCGTACTCATCCCAACCAATGGCCACTACTCAGTACTCCTCCCAACCAATGGCCACTACTCTGTACTCCTCCCAACCAATGGCCACTACTCCGTACTCATCCCAACCAATGGCCACTACTCCGTACTCCTCCCAACCTACTTCGTACTCATCCCAACCAACGGCCACTACTCCGTACTCATTCCAACCAACGGCCACTACTCCGTACTCATCCCAACCAACGGTCACTACTCCGTACTCATCCCAACCAACGGCCACTACTCCGTACTCATTCCCAACCAACGGCCACTACTCCGTACTCATCCCAACCAACGGGCACTACTCCGTACTCATCCAACCAATGGCCACTACTCAGTACTCTTACTACTTGACCTCTCTGCAGCTTTTGATACAGTTGACCATCCCCTCCTCCTCAAAAAACTCAACTCTTTTGGCCTCCAAGACTCTGCTCTCTCCTGGTTCTCCTCCTATCTATTGCAGCGCTCCATCAGCATTACCTATAACTCTGCCTCCTCCTCTTCACTCCCTCTTTCTGTAGGGGTCCCTCAAGGTTCTGTCCTTGGACCCCTATTCTTTTCCATCTACACCTCCTCCCTTTTTCACTTGATAAACTCCCATGGCTTTAAGTACCACCTCTATACTAATGACACACAAATCTATCTTTCTACCCCTTACCTCACCCCTTCAATCTCCTCCTCACCTCGCCCCTTCAGTCTCCTCTCGCATTACTAACCTACTAAGCAACATATCGGCATGGATGTCACTCCACTTCCTCAAACTCAATCTTTCCAAAACTGAGCTCTTAGTATTCCCTCCAGCCTTTGCCCCCCCCCCTGACTTCTCCATCAAGATCAATAACACTCATCAGTCCCTCCCCTCATGCCAGGGTACTTGGTGTAATCCTAGACTCCCATCTGTCCTTTCAGTCCCAAATCCAATCGCTGTCCAAATCTTGTAGACTTCACCTCCGCAAACAGTTCCAAGATACGCCCGTTCTTAACCTCGGAAACCACTAAGCAACTTATTCACTCCCTTGTTATATCTCGCATATTGTAACTCCCTCCTCATTGGCCGACCAAATTGCAGGCTATCCCCTCTCAGTCTATCATGAATGCTGCTGCCAGACTCATCCACCTTAATAAACATTCTGTATCAGCCACCCCTCTCTGCCAATCCCTCCACTGGCCTCCATTCAGTGTCCTCCACCCCCCTCTGCCAATCCCCTTCACTGGTCTCCATTCAGTGTCCTCCACCCCCCTCTGCCAATCCCTCCAGTGGCCTCCATTCAGTGTCCTCAAACCCCTCTCTGCCAATCCCTCCACTGGCTTCCCATTGCCCAACGGATAAAATTCAAAACATTAACAATAACATAAAGTCATTAATAACTCTGCCCCAAATTACATCATCAATATTGTCTCCAAATATCACCCAAACCGTACTCTCGGCTCCTCGCACAACCTCCTGCTCTCTAGCTCCCTTGTCTCCTCCTCCCATGCTCATCTCCAGGACTTCTCCAGAGCTTCCCCCATCCTCTGGAATGCTCTACCCCAATTTATCAGACTATTGCCTACTCTGCTCATTTTTAGGCGATCTCTGAAAACCTCTCTCTTCAGGGAAGCCTATCCTGCCCTCAGCTAATAATGGAATATTTTACTCTTCCAACCAATCCATCCCCCACAGTTACTACCTTTTGTACCACTAGCCCCTCCCTCCTAGATTGTAAGCTCTGAGGAGCAGGGTCCTCCAATCCCTCTTGTATTTAACTGTATTGTTGCTGTATTGTCTCCCATTATATTGTAAAGCGCTGAGCAAACTGTTGGCGCCATAAATCCTGTATAAAATAATAATGAGAGGAGATGAAATGTGGAAAGAAGTCATTGATAATGGGAGAGGAGATGGAACATGTAATGGGAGGAGTGGACAAGGTGGGCTTAGCTGGAGACCTCAAGCCTGGCTGATCATGTATCAATAGTCAGAAGAACCTGGAATGGACTCTCCACTGAGGCTTCAGAGACTTGGTAAGATGACAATAGACCCCATCCTAGTCTCTGGTACTGAGGCAGTGTTGGTCATGTATTACCTCAGGTCCAGAAATGAAGAAAATGCTTGGAAACACAACTCAGTTGGTGTATCATGAAAATTCATTGCATGTTCATTCAAAGCTCCATAAAAAAAGATAAAGATGATAATCATGAGGGAAGCTGTTCAGTTATTGATACTTATCTTAAAAAATTGTCAAAAGATAAAATATTCAAATCCCTTCTAGTTGTGTATTGATGGACATAAGCACTAAACTCAGTTCATCCAATCATTACATTCCAGTTTGCTCAGATTTTAGTTTGTTTCTTTTAAGGTAACATTTTATCTTTTCCATTCTTCTCTAGCTTGTGGGATGACATTGGGGATGTGAAACTAACTTGTGACACCTGAAACTTCTTTAATATTCCTTTTTTCTTCCAGTATTTAATCTATGCTGAGATTTGTGAATCCTCCGGTGATAGATTAGACCGGCATTAACTGAAAAAGGTTTGTCACATTGAGAGCATTAAAATGGCTTCTCTCCAGTGTGAATCCTCTGGTGTGTGATAAGATGTGACTTCACTGTAAAAGCTTTATCACATTCAGAACACTGATATGACTTCTCTCCAGTGTGAATCCTCTGGTGTTTGATAAGATGTGACTTCTGTGTAAAAGCTTTATCACATTCAGAACACTGATATGACTTCTCTCCAGTGTGACTCCTCTGGTGTGTGATAAGATTTGACTTCACTGTAAAAGCTTTATCACATTCAGAACACTGATATGACTTCTCTCCAGTGTGAATCCTCTGGTGTTTGATAAGATCACATTTGACTTCTCTGTGTAAAAGCTTGATCTGTGTAAAAGCTTTTCACATTCAGAACACTGATATGGCTTCTCTCCAGTGTGAACAATCTGGTGTGTGATGAGATGTGAATTCTGAGTAAAAGCTTTATCACATTCAGAACACTGATATGGCTTCTCTCCAGTGTGAACTCTTTGGTGTACTATAAGGTCTCTCTCACTTGTAAAAGTTTTGTCACATTCAGAACAATGATATGACTTCCCTCCATTTTGAACCTTCTGGTGTGTGATATATTTTCTATCCATTGTAAAATCTCCAAACAAGAAGTAGTATGAAATAACTCCTCTTATGTATATGTGGTTTGGACTTTAGTGTAAAGTAATTGTCACTTCCAGAACACTGAAATTCCTTTTCTCCTGTTGTCCTCTGAGGCTGGATCAATGTGGAAGAGGATCCAAACCATGACTTTTAGAACACAGATATGACTTGTGTCCCGTATGAATCCTCCAGTGAACTGCAGTAAAGACTTTCAGTCAATTAAGACATCCATATGTCTTGTTTTCCATGTGACTCAGCTGTATTCATGAAGACCAACATGACCGAAAACTTGGCTCATCAATCCACCTGTACAAAAAAAACAAAAAAAAACATTAAATTTAAAATTCTATATAAAGGGCTACATAAAGTTGCTTTCTATTTTTAATGTTCATTACTAAATAAATCTTATGAATAGAAAGAATATGTACAGCATTATCTACAGTATTTTTTTCATCAAATAGAGATTATTAATAAAGTTTATAAGTGCGCACAGTATTCCCAACATTCAGCCCAGACAATGGAGTCATACATTCTCACGTATAGGCAGTTGTGGCACTGTTACAGATCATACAGAACAATAACTTGCTTTGTCTATGGTGTCACTTTTACATTTTATAAACAAATGAACAGAGAAAAGAAGAAACAACCTAGAACAATTCAGCTGTACACGGCAAGTAACTCTCCCCCAGTACATACATAGATAGCTGACACCAATCAATGAGGCCTGTGTCTACAGGATCATACCCCAAGTATGGGTCAACCATGTAGTTACCATTCAGTAGGATACAACTGGCCGTTCTCCTTCTATGGGGATAAAAGAGCTAAGATTTTAAAAGCCTATGAAGACCCCGAGGAATATTGAACACCACATTACAATACCGTCATATTGTTCCACTTTTTGAATAATTTTGGACATTTCCAAAGCGTGTATCAAATCCCCGACATCACTACAATTGGGGTCATAAGGGGAAATCCCTCCTGTCCTAGCTGAACAATTGAGCTGGAGCCTGAAAACTCTATGCAAAAGAAATGACTGAGTTTCTGTGAAGAGGACAGAGAGATGAGAGGTATGGAGGTCACAATCACCTCCCACCACTCTCTCTTATTTTCTCTGTTTCCCATTTCTTTCTATAAGTCTTCAGTAAGAGTCAAAAGACGGGAATAAATAGATGAGAGATCATTCCTTTCCCACTGGTGCCATCTGAAGCCCATTAACAAATGTGAGAGTGATGTGAAATCTGTATCTGATGGAAGTAGTAACCGATGGATGGTATCTAATGTGTCTACTAAGTCCCACCTGGTAAGATGTTGAAGTTGGGCAGCTATAATTAGAGATGAGCGAATTATTCAAAAATTCGATTCGACTGATTCGGCGAATTTGTGAAAAAATATTGATTCGAGTCGATTATATTCGCTGCAAATTTAACTTATAAAAGGGTGTTTCTAGGCTTCAGAGAGCCTTTATATTAGTGCAGAACACTGTACCTTTAATTTAAATGCCCTTGGAGTCTGCTGGGGAAGAGAAATAATACTGTCAGTCAGTATGACATGCAGATGAGTGCCGTCGATCTTAGAATCAGCGCACACTTCACTCATTTGGGCAGTCACGGGGCCAAAACCAGAGTGTGGAGCCACAGTGTGGCGGTGGAGGCAGCAGCAATGGAAGGCCATACAGCACCCTATCACAAAATGGAACCCACCAACAGTGTAAGGAGACCTGAAAGTGGCACATGGCAGAGTCTGGCGATGAAGTCAGCAGCAATGGGAGGCCGTACAGGGACCCATGACACACTCTGGACCTGGCAGCAGCATGAGGAGGCAGTACAGGGGCCCATGACAGATTACGGGCCTGGCAGCAGCATGAGGAGTCGGTACGGGGGCCCATGGCAGATTACGGGCCTGGCAGCAGCAATGGGAGGCCGTACAGGGACCCATGACACACTCTGGACCTGGCAGCAGCATGAGGAGGTGGTACAGGGGCCCATGACAGATTACGGGCCTGGCAGCAGCATGAGGAGTCGGTACGGGGGCCCATGACACACTCTGGACCTGGCAGCAGCATGAGGAGGCGGTACAGGGGCGCATGACAGATTACGGGCCTGGCAGCAGCATGAGGAGTCGGTACGGGGGCCCATGACACACTCTGGACCTGGCAGCAGCATGAGGAGGCGGTACAGGGGCGCATGACAGATTACGGGCCTGGCAGCAGCAACTTGGACAGGAGGACGTTCAGCTTCTGCACCGTCGGGTGCGTGCTCGCAAACTGTTGTCTCTTGGAAACGGATTCCAAGAAAGACTGCTGACGGAATCCGTGAAGAGGAGTAGCAGGAGAAGGAGCATCTGAACGAGCGGAATATGCCAACAAGCGACAACAGGGGCCCATGACAGATTACGGGCCTGGCAGCAGCATGAGGAGTCGGTACGGGGGCCCATGGCAGATTACGGGCCTGGCAGCAGCAATGGGAGGCCATACAGCACCCTATGACAAAATGGAAACCCACCAGCAGTGTGAGGAGACCTGAAAGTGGCACATGGCAGAGTGTGGCGATGGAGACAGCAGCAATGGGAGGAGGTACAGGGACCCATGAGACACTGTGGACCTGGCAGCAGCATGAGGAGGTGGTACAGGGGCCCATGGCAGATTAGGGGCCTGACAGCAGCAATGGGAGACGCCCGTAATCTGCCAGCACTCTATGACAAAATGGAACACACCAGCAGTGTGAGGAGACCTGAAAGTGGCACATGGCATGACACACTGTGGACCTGGCAGCAGCATGAGGAGGCGGTACAGGGGCCCATGGCAGATTAGGGGCCTGGCAGCAGCTATGGGAGGCCCGTAATCTGCCAGCATCCTATGACAAAATGGAACCCAGCAGCAGTGTGAGGAGACCTAAAAGTGGCACATGGCAGAGTGTGGCGATGGAGACAGCAGCAATGGGAGGGGGTACAGGGACCCATGAGACACTGTGGACCTGGCAGCAGCATGAGGAGGCGGTACAGGGGCCCATGGCAGATTAGGGGCCTGGCAGCAGCTATGGGAGGCCCGTAATCTGCCAGCATCCTATGACAAAATGGAACCCAGCAGGAGTGTGAGGAGACCTGAAAGTGGCACATGGCAGAGTGTGGCGATGGAGACAGCAGCAATGGGAGGCGGTACAGGGACCCATGAGACACTGTGGACCTGGCAGCAGCATGAGGAGGCGGTACGGGGGCCCATGGCAGATTACAGGCCTGACAGCAGCAATGGGAGACGCCCGTAATCTGCCAGCAACCTATGACAAAATGGAACCCAGCAGGAGTGTGAGGAGACCTGAAAGTGGCACATGGCAGAGTGTGGCGATGGAGACAGCAGCAATGGGAGGCTGTACAGGGACCCATGAGACACTGTGGACCTGGCAGCAGCATGAGGAGGCGGTACAGGGGCCCATGGCAGATTAGGGGCCTGGCAGCAGCTATGGGAGACGCCCGTAATCTGCCAGCAACCTATGACAAAATGGAACCCAGCAGGAGTGTGAGGAGACCTGAAAGTGGCACATGGCAGAGTGTGGCGATGGAGACAGCAGCAATGGGAGGTGGTACAGGGACCCATGAGACACTGTGGACCTGGCAGCAGCATGAGGAGGCGGTACAGGGGCCCATGGCAGATTACAGGCCTGGCAGCAGCAATGGGAGACGCCCGTAATCTGCCAGCACTCTATGACAAAATGGAACACACCAGCAGTGTGAGGAGACCTGAAAGTGGCACATGGCATGACACACTGTGGACCTGGCAGCAGCATGAGGAGGCGGTACAGGGGCCCATGGCAGATTAGGGGCCTGGCAGCAGCTATGGGAGGCCCGTAATCTGCCAGCATCCTTTGACAAAATGGAAACCAGCAGGAGTGTGAGGAGACCTGAAAGTGGCACATGGCAGAGTGTGGCGATGGAGACAGCAGCAATGGGAGGCGGTACAGGGACTGTCAGAGCTCCCAGGTATGACCAGAGATGTGTGACTGACGCAGGGAAACGCAGACTTCAGATATGTGATAAACAATATAATTTATTAACACTAACAATACAAACATAAACGCAGTGCAATACTAAACATAATACAGTGCAAACAAACCCAACCAACCACCCACAGATAACAGTACATACAAGCAAGCGTCGTCAGGCAGGCCGGGTCAATATCAATAGGGCAGGTAGGTACAGGGGGAGCAAGCGGAGATTGGTCAGGGTCACAGGCCAGGTTCAGCAGGTAGCAAGCAGCGTAGTACAAAGGGTCAGGCAGAGGGATGGTCAGGGTCACAAGCCAGGGATCAGAACAGGTAGCAAGCAGCGTAGTACAGAGGGTCAGGCAGAGGGATGGTCAGGAGCGAGCCGGGATCAGAGCAGGAGAAGTCAGCAGCAGTTCAGATCAGGCAGGGTCAGCAAAGGAACAGAAACAGGGATGCAGGACAGATACAGGGCCCAGGACAAACATAACACCAAGGCAGAGTCTGTGGGTCTGGCCATCCCTTAAATACCCCAGCATCATCAGTTACAGGTGTTAGCTGGCTGCAAAGTTGAGCCTCTGATTGCTGGGAGCACCCCCTGGCCAGCCCTGGTACTGCAGATCAAAAGGCAGGTGAGTCCCACCATTGCTGGCCAGTCCATTCCTGAAAGTACCCCCCCCTCAAGGAGCGGCCTCAGGACGCTCCAAACAGTCCTAGCTGGGAAAAATGTTCCACCGCCCGGGTCTGGTAACTGGCGGGATATCAAAGACTGGCACACCTGGCAGGACTTCCGGGCAGCGGTACACCGGGCAGAGGCACATCGGGCAGAGGCACACCGGGCTGGACTCCGGGCAGAGCCCCACACGGGCTGGACTCCGGGCAGAGGCACACCGGGCAGAGGCACACTGGGCAGAGGCACACCGGGCAGAGGCACACCGGGAAGAGGCACACCGGGCAGAGGCACATCGGGCAGAGGCACATCGGGCAGGACTCCGGGCAGAGGCACATCGGGCAGAGGCACATCGGGCAGGACTCCGGGCAGAGGCACATCGGGCAGGACTCCGGGCAGAGGCACATCGGGCAGGACTCCGGGCAGAGGCACATCGGGCAGGACTCCGGGCAGAGGCACATCGGGCTGGACTCCGGGTAGAGGCACATCGGGCTGGACTCCGGGCAGAGGCACATTGGGCTGGACTCCGGGCAGAGGCACATCGGATTACCAGGCAAAGCAGCAGGCAGCGGGTCACCGGGCGGAGCAGCAGGCAGCGGGTCACCAGGCAGAGCAGCAGGCACTGGGCCCCCGGGCGGAGCAGCAGCAGACACCGGGCCCCCGGGCGGAGCAGCAGGCACCGGGCCCCCGGGCGGAGCAGCAGGCACCGGGCCCCCGGGCGGGCGGCCGGCATCGGGCCCCCAGGAGGGGCGACAGGCATTGGGCCCCCAGGCGGAGCGGGCGGCGCGCCGGGCCCCCAGGAGGGGCGACAGGCATCGGGCCCCCAGGCGGGGCGACAGGAATCGGGCCCCCAGGCGGGGTGACAGGCATCAGGCCCCCAGGTGGGGCGGCGGGCCCCCAGGCGGGGCGACAGGCATCGGGCCCCCAGGCGGGGCGACAGGCATCGGGCGACCCCCCAGGCGGGGACGACGGGCATCGGGCCCCCAGGCGGGGCGGCGGGCCTCCAGGCGGGGCGACAGGCATCGGGCCCCCAGGCGGGGCGACATGCATCGGGCCCCCAGGCGGGGCGACAGGCATCGGGCCCCCAGGCGGAGCGGCGGGCGCCGGACCCCCAGGCGGAGCAACAGGTCTCGGGCCCCCAGGAGGAGCGACAGGTCTCGGGCCCTCAGGCGGAGCGGCGGGCGCCGGACCCCCAGATGGAGCGACAGGTCTCGGCCCCCCCAGGCGGAGCGACAGGTCTCGGGCCCCCAATCGGAGCGGCGGGCGCCGGACCCCCAGATGGAGCGACAGGTCTCGGGGCCCTCAGGCGGAGCGGCGGGCGCCGGACCCCCAGGTGGAGCGACAGGTCTCGGGCCCTCAGGTGGAGCGGCGGGCGCCGAGTCACCAGGCACGACAGTGGGCTCCGAGTCAACTGGCATGACCGCTGGCACTGGGTCAGACATTGGATCGTCTGGCTGGACAGCGGGCATCGGGTCACCAGGCATCAGGTCATTTGGCTCGACCGCGGGCACCGCGTCATCTGGCAAGGCAGTGGGCTCCGAGTCAACTGGTATGACCGCGGGCACTGGGGCAGACATTGAATCGTCTGGCTGGACAGCGGGCATCGGGTCACCAGGCATCAGGTCATTTGGCTCAACAGCGGGCACCGCGTCATCTGGCAAGGCAGTGGGCTCCGAGTCAACAGGCACGACAGTGGGCACCGGGTCATCAGGTACCGGATTGTCTGGCTCGACAGCGGGCATCGGGTCACCAGGTATGACAGCGGGCACTGGGTCACCAGGCATCAGGTCATTTGGCTTGCCAGCGGGCACCGCGTCATCTGGCAAGGCAGTGGGCACCGGGTCACCAGCATTGGATCGTCTGGCTCGACAGCGGGCATCGGGTCACCAGGTATGACAGCGGGCACTGGGTCACCAGGCATCAGGTCATTTGGCTCGCCAGCGGACACTGCATCATCTGGCAAGGCAGTGGGCACCGAGTCACCAGGTATGACAGCGGGATCTCTGAGTCAATTGGCACGACAGCGGGCACCGGATCATGTACTGGATCATCTGGATCAACAGCGGGCATCGAGTCAACTGGCCTAATAGGATCGTCAGGCTGGATCAGTTCATCATGCTGGGTAGAGCATCAGGCTGAATGCCAGCGTCCGGCTGAGTAGAGGCTTCAGGCCGAGTAGAGGCATCAGGCCGAGTAGAGGCATCAGGCCGAGTAGAGGCATCAGCCGAGTAGAGGCTTCAGGCCGAGTAGAGGCTTCAGGCCGAGTAGAGGCTTCAGGCTGAAGAGAGGCATCAGGCTGCGTACAGGCATCAGGCTGAGTAGAGGCTTCAGGCCGAGTAGAGGCATCAGGCTGAAGAGAGGCATCAGGCTGAGTATGAGGTATCAGGACTGAAGTAGACGGCTTCAGGCCGAGTAGAGGCTTCAGGCCGAGTAGAGGCATCAGGCCGAGTAGAGGCTTCAGGCCGAGTAGAGGCTTCAGGCTGAAGAGAGGCATCAGGCTGCGTACAGGGGGCATCAGGCTGAGTAGGGGATTCAGGCTGAGTAGAGGCCTTTCAGGGCTGAGTCACGGAAGGCAGGCTCACCGGTTTGGATTACTGGCAGGATTGGTAATTGGTTGGAAAGAATTTTCGCTTTTTTCTGGGTTTTAAACTACTGGGGCACTGCAAGTAAAACGCAGGTCTGCAAAACGAAAATGGAGCAGCTGGAGACAGAGAAGAGCTGGAGGGATGGAACAGGAGAGGGAGCAGTTTGCTACAGAGGGCTTTTTTACAGGGTTAAAGGCTGGATTAGGTGCAGCGAGTGGGAACAGGGTACTGACATGCGGTAGATAGCCAAGTATACTGGGCTGTAACTGGAGGAGCTGTTGGGGAATAACAGGAGTAGAGAGTTAGAATGCAGGACTGGGTTTTGTGTAAGCTGACTGAGGCTGGGTGCAACAAGTCTGTCCATGTCTGCAGTATGGGTTGAACAAAGCTGAGCTTACACAAAGCCTGTGTGGTCAATGACTGCACTGCGTTGATACAATCTCTTAGTGTCTGTGTGTTGAACATGTGGAATAACGCTCCAGAAAGTAAAAACCCACATCATCCTCTAATAACCACACCAGGACTCTACCTGGTCTGCACTAAATGGTGGCCAAAAATTCATCCCTGCATTAAGTGGGGGGAACCAGATGAAACCAACTCTGCACAAACCTCAATCAAAGGCTGCACCTCAGAGAACTCTGTGCCTGATCTACTAGAACATGAGCGATCCGTATACATTCTAGCAGTTCATCCCGGGTATACTCCTTCCGAGTCTGATAATGCATACTCCCTGTCATTAAACACTAGCAGATATAAATACACAACCTCATCCAGATCCATCCTTCCAGCAACAAGCCAAGATGGCTTCCCTGTGCAGCCACTTCTGGTCAGGATGACCTTGGTGTAATGTCAGGGCTCCCAGGTTTGACCAGAGAGATGTGTGACTGACGCAGGGAAACGCAGACCTCAGATATGTTATAAACAATATAATTTTATTAACACTAACAATACAAACATAAACGCAGTGCAATACTAAAACATAATACAGTGCAAACAAACCAAACCAACCACCCACAGATAACAGTACATACAAGCATAGCGTCGTCAGGCAGGCCGGGTCAATATCAGTCGGGCAGGTAGGTACAGGGGGGAGCAAGCAGAGAGAATGGTCGGGGTCACAGGCCAGGTATCAGCAGGTAGCAAGCAGCGTAGTACAAAGGGTCAGGCAGAGGGATGGTCAGGGTCACAAGCCAGGGATCAGAACAGGTAGCAAGCAGCGTAGTACAGAGGTGTCAGGCAGAGGGATGGTCAGGAGCGAGCCGGGGATCAGAGCAGAAGTCAGCAGCAGTTCAGATCAGGCAGGGTCAGCAAAGGAACAGAAACAGGATGCAGGACAGATACAGGGCCCAGGACAAACACAACACCAAGGGCAGAGTCTGTGGGTCTGGCCATCCCTTAAATACCCAGCATAATCAGTTCCAGGTGTTAGCTGGCTGCAAAATTGAGTCTCTGATTGCTTGGGAGCACCCGCTGTGGCCAGCCCTGGTACTGCAGATCAAAGGCAGGTGAGTCCCACCTTTGCTGGCCAGTCCATTCCTGACAGGGACCCATGAGACACTGTGACCTGGCAGCAGCATGAGGAGGCGGTACGGGGCCCATGGCAGATTACAGGCCTGGCAGCAGCAATGGTAGACGCCTGTGGGGGGGTTGTGGGTAATCTTGCCAGCACCCTAATGACCAAAATGGAACCCAGCAGGAGTGTGATTGGAGATGAAAGTGGCACCATGGCCAGATCTTTGCGAGTGTGGCGATGGAGCCAGCAGAAATGGGAGGCCGTACAGGTTACCCATGAGGACACTGTGGGACCTGGCCTGCAGCATGAGGAGGCGGTACAGGGGCCATGGCTGATTTGGCGGCTGGCAGCAGCTATGGGAGATGCCCGTAATCTGCCAGCAACTTTGGACAAAATTGGACCCAGCCAGGAGTGTGAGGAGACCTGAAAGTGGCACCATGGCAGGAGGTGTGGCGATGGGACGCACAATGGGAGGCCGTACAGGGGGCCCATGAGACATGGGACCTGGCACAGCTGAGGAGGCGGTACAGGGGCCCCTGGGAGTTACAGGCCCGGGAGCAGCAATGGGAGACGCCTAACTACCACAAAAAATAGCAAAAAGGAACCCCGAAGCATTTTGAGGGACCCGAAAGTGGCACTGGCGGTGTGGCGATGGAGCAGCAGCAATGGGAGGCGGGTAAGGGACCCATGAGACCTGTGGACCTGGCGCAGCATGAGGAGACATCAGGGGCCCTGGAAAATTAGGGGCCGGCAGCAGTAAGGGAGTCCCGTAATCTGCCCGCATCCTATGCAAAAAAGGAACCCGCAGGAGTGTGAGGAGCCTGAAAGTGGCACATGGCGAGTTGGCTTGGAGCAGCAGCAATGGGAGGCCGTCAGGGACCCATGAACACTGTGGGCCTGGCAGCAGATGAGGGGCGGGAAGGGGCCCATGGCAGTTACAGGCCTGGCAGCAGCAAAAGGGGGACGCCCCTAATCTGCCGGCAACCCATGACAAAAAGGAACCCACAGGGTGTGGGAGACCTAAAATGGCACTGGCAGGTGTGGGGATGGAGACAGCAGAAAAAGGGAGGCCATACGGGACCAGAGACACTGTGGACCCGGCACAGCATGAGGAGGTGGTACAGGGGGCCCCTGGCAGATTAGGGGCCCGGCAGCAGCAAAGGGGAGAGCTGAATCGCCAGCAACCATGACAAAATGGAACCCAGCAGGAGTGTGAGGAGACCTGAAAGTGGCAATGGCAGAGTGTGGCGATGGAGACAAAAAGCAATGGGAGGCCGTACAGGGACCCCGAGAATTTGGGGCCTGGCAGCACTGAGGAGGCGGTACGGGGCCCCTGGCGATTAGGGGCCTGGCCCAAAACAATGGGGGGCCCGTAAACTGCCAGAACCTATGACAAAAGGAACCCGAAGCAGTGGAGGAGCCGAAAGTGGCCCCATGGGAGAGTGGGTTTTGGCGATGGAGGCAGCAGCAATGGGAGGTGGTACGGGGCCCATGAGACACTGTGGACCTGGCCCGACATGAGGGGCGGACGGGGGGGCCCGGAGATTAAAGGCCTGGGAGCAGCAATGGGGCGCCCCTAAAACTGTGAGAACCCATGACAAAATGGGAACCCAGGGAGTGTGGGGACCTGAAAGTGGCACATGGCAGAGGTGGGGAGGAACGCAGCAATGGGGGGCCTAAGGGACCCGAGACATGTGGACCTGGCGCAGCATGAGGGGGCGGTACGGGGGCCCCACAATTACAGGGCCTGGGGGGTGGGGCGGTAACGCCAGCAATAGACAAAAAGGAACCCACAGGGGGTGTGAGGAGACCTGAAAATGGACTGGCAGAGTGTGGCGATGGAGACAGCGGCAAGGGGGGCCGTACAGGGGGCCCCCTGAGGGCACTGTGGCCTGGAGCAGCATGAGGAGGCGGTACGGGGGCCCATGGCAGATTAGGGGGGGCCCGGCAACAGCAATGGGAAGGGCCCCTAATCTGCCCCCATTTCCCAATTTACAAAAGGGGAACCCCGCAGGAGTGTGGGAGACCTGAAAGTGGCACATGGCAAAAGTTGGGGGGCGATGGAGCAGCAGCAATGGGAGGGCCCAACAGGGGGCCCATGGAACCCCTGTGAAAACCCGGCGCAGCATGAAAGGGAAAGGGGGTACGGGGGGCCCCTGGCTATTTTACCCTTCCACAGCAATGGGAGCGCCCCTAAACGCCAGCAAAACCCATGGCAAAAAGGAAAACCCAGCGCAGTGGAGGAGAAACCCGAAAGTGGCCATGGCAGAGTGTGGGGATGGAGACAGCCCCAATGGGAGGGGGTACAGGGACTCATGAACACTGTGGGGCCTGGCAAACGCATGAGGAGGGGGGAAAAGGGGGCCCCGGGAGATTTTGGGGCCTGGCGCAGCAATGGGGGGACGCCCGTAATCTGCCAGAAACCCATACAAAAAAGGAACCCCCGAAACAGTGTGGGGGAACCGAAAGTGGCAATGGCAGAGGTGGCGATGGAGGGCAAACAGCAATGGGAGGCGGTACGGGACCCATGAGGGCATTTGGACCTGGCAGCAGCATGGGGGGGCGGGGGGACGGGGGCCCCTGGCGATTACAAAGGGCCCGGCAGCAGCAATGGGGACGCCCCAAAACTGCCAGCAACCATTGACAAAATTTGGGAAACCCCGCAGGATGTTAGGAGGGCCCGAAAGTGGCACATGGCAGAGGGGTGGCCCATGGAGACCCGCGCAAAAGGGAGGCGGTCGGGCCCAAGAGACCCCTGTGGACCTGGCAGCAGCCAAAGAGGAAAGGGGGTTAAAGGGGGGGCCCAGGCAATTACAGGCCCGGCAGCAGCAATGGGAGACCCCGAAAACTTGGGCCCCAACCAAAGACAAAAAAGGAACCCAGCGCCGTGTGAGGAACCTGAAAAATTTTTGGAAAAAGGGAGAGTGTGGCGATGGGACAGCCGCAAGGGAGGGGGTACGGGGGCTCATGGGGGGCCCCTGGGACCTGCAGCAGCATGAGGAGGCCCGGGACAGGGGCCCCCTGGCAGATTTGGGGGGTGGCAGAAGCAATGGGGGGGCCCCGTTTAAACTGCCGCAACCATGGGCAAAATGGAACCCAGAAGCTTTAAAAAACCCAAAAGTGGGCCCCCCTGACAGAGTGTGGCGATGGAGACAGCAAACCCAAAGGGGGCCGTACAGGGACCCCTTTAGACACTGTGGGAAACCCGGCAGGGACATGAGGGGGCGGGTACGGGGGGGCCCATGGCAAAATTAAAAGGCCTGGCGCCCCGGGAAAGGTAGACGCCCGTTTAACCGCCAGCAACCTAAAGCAAAATGGGAACCCCGAAGCTGTGTGGGAGACCTGGGAAAGGGGGACATGAGGGAGAGTGTGGCCCATGGAGACAGCGCAATTTGGGGGGCGGGACTGGGGCCCATGAGACAAAAGTGGACCGGGCAGAGCATGAGGAGGCGGGACGGGGGGCCCCCGGGAGATTACAAAGGCCCGGCGCACAATGGGAGACGCCCTTTTAAACTGCCACAACCTATGGGCAAAATGGAAAACCCAGAAGCGTGTGAGGAGACCTGAAAATGGCAAAATGGCAGAGGGGTTTGGGGATGGAGGGCCGCAAACAATGGAGGCGGGTTTCGGGGAAACCCCTGAGACCTTGGACCTGGGAGCGCTAGGGGGGCGGTACGGGGGGCCCCTGGCAGATTAAGGGGCCCGGCAGAGCTAGGGGCGCCCTAAAACTGCCGCAAACCTATGACATAAAGGAAACCAGAAAAGTGTGAGGAAAACCTTTAAAGTGGCACTTTGGGAGAGTTTTGGCGGGGTGGAGACAGCAGCAATGGGAGGGGGTACGGGACCCCGGGGACAATGGGAAACCCGGCAGCAGCAAAGAGGGAAAGGGGGGTAAAGGGGCCCAAGGCCCGATTTAGGGGCCCGGCACACTATGGGGGACCCCCCCGTTTAAAATTTCCAGCATCCCCATGACAAAATGGAACCCAGGGAGGGGGTGTGAGGGGACCTGAAAGTGGCAAAATGGCAGAGTGTGGCGATGGAGACAGCAGCAAGGGGGGCCCGGGAAGGGACCCCCTGAGGAAATGTGGGGGCCTGGGGAGCAGCAGAGGAGGGCGGGAAAAGGGGGGCCCCTGGCAGATTACACCCGGAAACAGCAATTTGGGGGAAACCCCCTAATCTGCCAGCAAACCCTTTACAAAATGGAAACCCCGAGGAGTTTTGAGGAGACCCGAAAGTGGCAAAATGGCAGAGTGTGGCGATGGAGGGCAGCAGCAATGGGAGGCGGTACAGGGACCCCCCGGGACACTGTTGGGCCTGGCAAACAGAAGAGGAGGCGGTAAAGGGGGCCCATGGCAAAATTTTCAGGGGCCGGAAACAACAATGGGAGACGCCCGTAATCTGCCCGCAACC